TGGGGGACCCATGCTGGAGCAGTCTGTTCCTGAAGGACTGCACCCTGTGGAAAGGACCCACACTGGAGCAGTTCATGAAGAACTGCAGCCTGTGGGAAGGACTCACGTTGGAGAAGTTCATGGAGGACTGTCTCCCATGAGAGGGACCCCACGCTGGAGCAGGGGAGGAGTCCTCCCCCTGAGGAGGAAGGAGCGGCAGAGACAACGTGTGATGAACTGACCACAACCCCTGTTCCCCATCCCCCTGTGCCGCTGGGGGGAGGAGGTAGAGAAAATCGGGAGTGAAGTTGAGCCTGGGAAGAAGGGAGGGGTGCGGGGAAGGTGTTTTAAGATTTGGTTTTATTTCTCATTACCTTACTCTGATTTGATTGGTAATAAATTAAACTAATTTCCCTGAGTCGAGTCTGTTTTACCCACGATGGTAATTGCTGAGTGATCTACCTGTCCTTACCTTGACCCACGAGCCTTTTGTTGTATTTTCTCTCCCCTGTCCAGCTGAGGAGGGGAGTGATAGAGCGGCTTGGTGGGCCCCTGGCATCCAGCCAGGGTCAACCCACCACAGCAGGATACTGCCAGTATGACAACTTTGAAATAGTTGGCTGGTATATGAGCAAGTATGTCTCCATTTAATATTAATGAACATTTTAAAGGATTTTTTTCTGACTTTTCTGCAGAAAAAGGTGTTTTTAAATATTTCTGTGTGACAATCTGTGAAGTAACACAGAGTAAGAGTACTTCCTAATTGGTCTTCAAACTTAGCTTTTGATAGTATGCTTTCTTACTGAATGTTAAGTTTTAAAACTAGAATACCTAAAAAGAATTTAAAATACATACGTAAAGCAAAAGTTCTTATATTCCTTGTTGTACTGTATGAATTAAATAAATTCCAGTTTGTATGGTTTGTCTCGTTTGTTTATGTAAGTTAAAATTACATCCTTATTGCCATGAAAATTGGAGTCAGCGACCTTAACATATTTTGAAAGACTCTGCAGAACTGGTACAAAATAGCATAAATACGTGTGTTCCTTTCTACCCAGGAGGGAGTTCGTTCCTGATCTCAGTGAGGAAAAGGGATATTTAGAAGCTTGCAGAAGGCTTTGATTGGGTGGTTGCCTGTGCTACCACATAAACGCTGTTGCTAAATAAATACTTGGATCGTCCTAACTACAAGACTACTACTAATAGCAACAAGCAAAGACTTTCTCTCTGTCATGTGTCTTTGCGCTCTAGAAGGGATAAATTTGCATGATTTCCCAACTTGACCTTTTTGAAAGACCTTTAAGAAATGTGGGATGTTAAGGCATCCTGGAATGGCACATCCTGAAACAGGCCTTTAACATCTTTTCATGTTTCTCTGATATATTAAGGGATTATCTTGGCTTAGGGAGCAACCCTAAACATGCTTACGAATATAATGTCTTCCTTTTTACTATTTGTTACTTCCTCACCCTCATCTTCGTATGGCTGTTGTAGCGGGTGAAGGCAGATGCTGGGGAGCTTAGAAGTGTACCCACAGGCTCCTCAAAGAGCAGTCTGTAGGTGACAGAAACACTATCATTAACGGGTGTCACATCATGTTGTGAAATGCAAAAGCATTATTGGCTGAATAGATGCAGCATCTTTAATGGCAATTTTATTTTTTCCACATTTCCAATCAATGTGGAAAATTGCTGGAAATTTGTCACAGACTAACTAAGAGAGAACCTTAGTTACCAGCAATTTTCATCAGCTAAATAAGATTTTACTTTCTGCTAAAAAGGAAGAATTCATAGGAAAGTTCCATCCTTTGATCTACTGTACTTATGTCTTCCCAGTTGACGGTGCTAAACTTAGGAAGCTACCAGAAAAGAAAATGTTTGTCTTAGCAGTTTGAACACAACTGTTGAGAATTTTTGAATGTCATATTATTAACTCAAAGTATTTTTAAAATTGCATAGTAAATAAGATTATTTCTACATGAACTGGCACAGTAACTAGTAATACAACTTCAATTTTGAATCCAGTGTGGCAGCTCAATAGTTCCTCATAGGTACTTAAAAGATCCCGCTTACTGTGATCACTGCTCAAGTTAATGATCTGAATAACTCCTCTTTTTAGCAAACAGTACTCCTTAGAACATAGATCTGACGTGATTATTCTTTTAATATTGGGGGATGTGTGGAGATTGAAAGGGAAAAGGCTCATGTATGGTAAGGAATCCTTTACACAAAATGCTTGTGCAAATTAATTATTAAAAAAAACCCATCCCACACACAAACACACAAAGTTCTAAATAATGATTAAAACCTTTTTAACTCCCCAGTGTGCAGCATCTGCAAGCCATTCCAAAGTCATCTTACGTGGTGTATTTTGATTGCCCCAAAAGGCAGCAGCTATTTGCTTTGTTGCCTTTTCATGCCCCAAAGCAAGGGTACGACAGTATTTTTTTCACGACTAGCTCACGTACAAATTAACTCAAATGTGGTGATGAGAACGGCATCACAATGAAACAACAGATGAATGAGCAGGCTGTTTGTCATGGAAGAATCTTTCTATTTTGTTGTATGTTAATTTGGTGCGAGCTCCAACGAACAGATGAATCGGCAGGCCCTGGGGCAAACCGCCTTCAGTTAATTGAGGACGACATAGCACACCACAATGCATCAGAATCTGTATTCATCTCTCTGGTAGGATCATATTAGGACGGTGTGACCTTAATATTAAAAGGAACATTCTGTACCATAGAAATCATTTTTCCACTAACCTGTAGCACAGCTCCAGCTATGTCCAGCCAGCATTATAAAGCCTCTTGGGAGCAGAAAATAAAACACAATGAAAAACAACACAACTTTTTAATCTACAGGGGAGATGGTGTCCACAGCAATGCTGCCTGGAAGGAAGCTCAAAGCAGATTGCTGGGAGGTCTTGAAGTTTCTATGTCCCCGCAGGAAAGGTCTGTACGGTTTATGGCTGTACCACCAATTCCAGTCAGTCTTTTGACCAGCCCTCTTGCTGGTCATTCATTCTGATGGATGAATCCGTTTAAAAGTTGATAATGAAGGGTTAGGTTATTAATGGATTTTGATTGTTTTGCAAGATGTTATAGCCACAGCACCAGCCACAAAACTGTGGCTGAAACAAATCAGAATTCACAGTTAAGGGATGTGGATCATTTTGGCTGCAAAAAGCATCCTCGGAGATCGTTGGGCAGGAACAGGAACAGTTTGCCATTAGGTGCCACTTCAGTCACTGTAAGACTTTGGGTACTGATCCCATTTTTTTGTTGTTGCTGCAGGTGGTGGTTTTTTCCTTTGATTGCTTCCTGTCTATTCCTACCGCTGTAGTCTAGAGGGAGAGATTTTTGGGTCATTCAGTCTGATCTCTGATGCGACATAGGCCAAACATTTTAAGCCAGGAGCTCTTTTTAATGAATCCAGTTTGTGCTTGACTGTCAATTACCTGCCAGAGCAGCAGCAAGTTTTGGTACAAAAAACCTACAGCATCTGCCGTGAAAGATTTTGTATTTAGTCACTCTCACTACCGCATGTTTGTCTTCTTTTTGATGGATGATTTCAAGCTCATTCATGTTGCCCCCCTTCACCTGCGCCCCAACCAGTGGGTGCTCATTATACCCCAGCACCAGCAGCTGGTGTATCATCCACCATTAGGATCTGCCACAGCTGCGTAGGACCATGGCCATTTTGCCTCCTTTAGGCAATACCTACTTTGCCTCTGTCACCAGAGCTGTCACTGGTATCTGTGATGGTTATTTTTGACCAAATACACTGTCTCCCTGCCATAGAGAGCATGAAATGAGAGAGCTTAGAAGAACCCTTTGCACCAACCCACTTGACTAAACGAGGACATGCCATTTTACTCCAAGCAGCAAGAAACAATTGCTGTGAAAACTTACTGGCAGGTATCAGCTATGTCCCCTCAGCAAGGACAGAACTGGGCAGTCTGAAATGCAGGTCAAAAATCAGCTCAAGATAAGTGCAGGGGGAAAGCAGCTGCCTACCAGGAAACTAAATAAGCTGAGTAAAAGGCTTTGTGAGATCCCACCCTGTTCCTCGCCTGTTCCAGAGGAAGTCTCAGAATTGCCATTTTAGCATGTTTCCACATGAGAAACATTTTATATTGTACACAGCAGTATAAAAGGTGGGGCACAAAGCCACTGCGGAATCAGGCTCAAAGAAAGGGTGAGCCTTCATCAGAGGGCCAGGACAAGAGGCAGCTCACACAATTTTCTCTGCTTGTTGGAATTTAAGGTCTAGGGCTGCTGCAAACTTCCAGTTCCTGGCAGATGCCTGTGTGTACACACATCGTAATTGTGCACCG